CCCGTGGAGTTGACCTGGCTGTTCATGGCCCAGCGCGCGGAGGCGATCATCCACTGGATTTCGTGAGCGGCCGCGGGCTGGTCGAACCTGATGCTGAGCGGGTCGATCAGCTTCCTCGCGTGCACCTTCTACATCCCTCCATGTCGTTCCACGGTAGCACTCTGCTGCGGCGTCGCCGCAGATGTGGTCATCAGGCGGCAACCCATGCGAGCTCCTTGGGGAACTCTCTCTCGCTCGAACTCGCCTTCTCCAGAAAATTTGACTCGCTGAGGCGCGCCAAAAGGCGTAATCCAAATCTGCAACATTCGAGCGAACACAGCCGATGGGCGCCTTGATGCGACAGTGCCGCACATCGTAAAACCTGAAGCTAGGTCGACCACGTTGAGGTAGACCAGCTGGTTGCCAGCGTAGTCGGCCAGGGTGAACAGGTCCACTCCGATGGAGTCGTTGAAGTCCCTGTCCAGTCTGATCCGCCCCGGTAGGTGAGGTAGTGGTCGCTGATGTGCTGCACGCACCTCGCAGTAGAGGTTGAGAGCAATGTCAATGGACCTCTGCGATCCACCAGTCGCACGAATGGCTCGGGCAAGTGAATCGTTTGACGGGTGCCCCGTGTTCACGTGGAGCTGCATGATGGCGGACCGTAGTGTCCGCTCCTCCGCGGCCGTGAGCGCTGGCTCCTGAGCGGCTGCGGTGGCTGGAACCGTCCTTCTTCTTGCCCTTCTCGTCGTCGATGTAGGGTGAGCTTCTCGCACAGGTCGGCGGTTCGGACGTCGCAGCTGCTCGGCTAGCAAAGTCGCGAGCTTGGTCGTGTAGTTCTCGCTGCGCTTCGCGTCCTTCCCGCGGGCCTCTGCGCGCGGGTGCCCCCCGCTGCAGGAACGCCTGAGCGAGTCGTCGAACCCGAAATGGTCGGCGATGATCCGCCACGGCTTCTTGATGTGGATCCCTTTCTTTGTCTTGAGGTTGAACGCGCAGCCGTCGAAGTCCACGACGCGCGGGAGCTGCTCCATCAGCTGCTTGGCAATGGCGTTCTTGTTGGGGTCCCATCCATCGCAGTACCTCGGCCACTCGAATGAGACGGCGAGCTGGGCGCCGAACTCCTCGTGCAGCCGTGACATGGACTGCAGGAACAGGCCGATCATCTGCTTGGACTTGACCCGATCCCTTTTCAACTTGGGGATCTTGCTCGGGTCGATCTTGACGATGAGTCTTTGTAGCGATGTCCACGGCTGGCAAGGAAACGCAGCGTGAACTCGCACACTCTTGCCTGCGGCAAGGTGCTTCCGGATCCTGCCCTCCAGCTTCTGGACCACGAACTGTTTGGAGAGGTCGAAATTTGGTACACCACACATGACAGCCGCTCCTTTTTTCTTCTTCCAGATGGCGCTGAGCTTGCTGTCCGCGTTGCAGCACCACTCGTAGAGCACGGTGCTGTTCGCGATGAAGGTCGGGCTGGATCTGTTCGTAGACTTGGCCAGGTTAGTAATCAAAGCCTGGCCGATCTAGTGCGGCTGGATGCCGCTCTTGCTGGTGACGAAGACTGAGCGCTTGCCAGCGATCAGCTGCGGCTTCGTCCCCTTCTTCAGCGTCCTCACGCGTAGCTGCTCCCCCTCCACGATGTTGGCCTCGGGTCCGAGGCAGTCGTTGGCGATGTCGTCCTGGCCGTGGCTCAGGGTTACGGGCGTGCCGGACACGCGGTCCGAGCATAGACCCTGGTGGCTGCAGGCCTCAAAGGTCGTCTCGCCACAGGCGATGCAGTCCTGCAGGGGCTCGGTCACGCACGTCGTGGGGTAGGTCGTGTGTGGCAGCGTCGCTAGCGTGAGGTTCGGAGCTGGAGCTGCGGTGTAGCAGCAGACCAGGGCTGGGGCTACGGCCGAAAGCAGCCGTGACCCCTTCGGTCGCCGAGTCTGGAGACGTCTCGGAACGTTCAGCTCCTTCTTCGTGGCGAGGTTGTTGATGGTGTCGATCAGCGCGTTGGTCCTGGTAGTGTTGTTGACCGTGGGCTGGTCGCCCGTCCTCGTCTTCCGATCTCGTCGGTCGAGCGTCTTCTCGTCTTCTCGACCTCTACGTATAGGGTCTTGTCCAGCTGTCGCTCCCTTCCGGACGAGCTGGCCGCACTGGGCGGTTGCTCCATGCCGGCGTCCTTGATAGCCTGCCAGTCCTCTGGCTGCTACTTAATTGCGGGGTGGCCCGCGGCGCTCGTGGTGAGCTTCTGGGTGGCATTCCCGATGTGAATCTGGCCGTCCAGAGAGAAATATCGATCTTGGAAGGCTGGATGAAGTCGCGGCCGATTAGCAGACCCAGCGTGGGGCTGTCCACGACGCTGAACACGATGCGGCCAGCCTGGCCGCACAACACAAGCGGCGCGGTGACGCGCAGCTTGCTTGGGAGGGCACCTCCGTTGCCGAACCTGTAGACCTCGTCCTCCGGCTCCTCGAGGATCTGGTTTGGCAAGTCCCATCCTCGTGAGGATGTCCTTGTAGTTGTCGTACCACTTCTTGCCCGAGGCGCAGGAAAGGCAGGCGGTGTCGACCACGCCGACGCCTTCGTCCACGGGCTTGTCACTGCCGATCGCGACGTTCACGTTCGGCATGTGGTGGATGAGCCGCTCCGAGACGCAAGTCTCTCGGGGCCGCGTGACTGGTCCCTGCGGGTGCACGGCGATCTCCTCGTCTGCGAACTGGACCTGCTCGGTGATGTGCGCCTGGCGCTGAGGACGGCCTCCGCGACCTCCTCGCCCACCGCCCTTTGATTTACCGTCCTTGGGCGCGAACTTGCGAGCACCTGGCGCGGGGCGCTCCTTGTCCCTTGTCCAGTGTCCTGTCTCGCCGCAGTCCCAGCAAGAAGCGTTCCTCTTGCGCTGGTCGACCCAGCCCTGTAGCTTGGTCGGGCGGCGGGGCGTTGCGGACCTCGATTTGCCGCGGCCCTCGAGGGCTTCCCGGGCCGATCTAATGGTGGCCATGGCCTCGGGAATAGCGGCAAGTCCCGCTGCGGCAGCTTCGACCTTGGCAGAGTCGTCGCCGTCGAACAGCTCGGAGATGTCTACGTTGGAGGACTCGAGCTCGGCGCTGAAAGCCTCGAGCTCATGGCGAACGATGTCCTGGACGTCGGTCTCGTCCTCGTCGCCCTCCTCTTGCTCTTCGTCGTTCTCGTCGTCCGGCTCGTCGACGACGTTGGTAGAGCGCCCCCCGCTGCTGGAGGAAACGGTGCTGCGCCAGCCGCCTTGTGAGCGCGACTGGTTGGTCCATGACCTTGGCGGGGGAGCGCGGCGCTCCGACGTGTGGATGCCCCGGGACATCTTGACCAGCAGCCCGCGGATGCGCTGGTAGCCGTAGTGCTCGTCGGGGAGGTTGCCCACGACGCGCTCGCGGCGCTCTGCCGTGAGCCCACCCAGCCCTGCGCAGCAGGAACCATCCTGCCACGTCGTCCAGCGCGTTGAGGTCCACCTCGTTCTCGCGTAGTTGCTGCAGTCCAGTCTCGAACCGGATGAGCCAGTCCGTCATGCGTTCACCTCGTCGTCGGTGATGTTGAGTCGACTCGAAAACTTCTCGAGGGTCTCTCCCTTCTGCACAGGCTTCTGCTGACCCAAACTCGCCTCCAGGTGTTGTGGCACATTCTCGATGCCGACCTGGTTCCTATTGCGCTTCTTGTCATCGGGGTCTTCGATGTCCGCCGCGGCTGCTGGGTGCAGCTGCGCCTCCGTCATATTCAATTATGCACCGCGGGCAGTCCCACTTAGCTTCAGCACGAGCTTCGATGCGAGGCTGTGGGCAACGGCGAGGTTCTCACTGAGCTTCCAGAGCTCGACCTCCCGTTTGTAATCTCTCCACTTTGCCGGATCGCCATTCCATGTAGGGATGACGCTGTACGCATAGTTGTCTGTCATTTTGTCGAGAAAGAAAGAGAAAGAAGTAGCTGTTGATGCTGGCGTCGCTGACGCTGGCGTTGGAGAAGTAGGCGTTGATGCTGGCGTCGCTGACGCTGGCGCAATAGGAGTAGGCGCTGATGCTGGCGTCGCTGACGCTGGCGTAGGTGAAGTAGGCGTTGATTGCGTCGCTGACGCTGGCGTAGGAGAAGTAGGCGCTGATGCATGCGTCGACGCTGGCCTGGGAAAAGTAGGCGTTGAAGCTTGCGTCGCTGGCTTGGGAGAAGTAGGCGAAGTAGTCGTTGATGACGGCGTCGCTGACGCTGTCGTGAGAGAAGTAGGCGTTGATGTCGGCGTCGCTGACGCTGACGTTCGGGAAGTAGGCGTTGGAGGCGTAGATGACGGCGTCGCTGACGCTGTCGGAGAAGCAGGCGTGGATGTCGGCGTCGTTGACGCTGACGTACGAGTTGGCAGGGTCGGCGTTGGTGTCGGCGTCGCTGACGTTGACGTGGATGATGCTAGCGTCGCTGACGCTGGCGAAGGCGCTGAGCAACAGCGCGACCAGGCTGGTCAGGAAGCCGCTGGGCTTCGATTCAGGAAGACGTGTCGCAGACGCCGTCTCGCAGTATGTACGGCGCGCAGCGAAGGGATAGCGGAACGGCCTCGCTCCACGCTACCATTGTGATATGGATCGGCGCGCAGCGCTGGGGATGCTTTTGCTGTGAGCGCGGCTCGAACAACTGGCGTAGCACTAAGGCCAAGGACCCTGAGAAATAAAAACGGCAGCGGCGAGCAAGGGATGAAACCACAAACCCCTCGGGAGTGAGCTTGATTCACACATGCAACGTACCCGCGGGGCCGCGCCCCAGAATCCGGAGCGCGAGGGAGCGGATGTGGAAATGTTCGCCGTTCCTGATCTGCCACGGTTCCGCGATCGGCACGGAATCCTGGCCAGCCTTCCGCGCTGTGCAGCCTTTCGCCAAACCTCCAACGTCTTGAAAACAGCAGTGCGAATGTGCTTGTTCGCAATTGTCTGCCTCTGGGGCGGCGTCTGGGGACGAGGTCCCTGGGAGGTGGTCCAGAGGTCCTGGGACCCCACCTTGAGTTAAAACAAGACATCAGAGGTCTGGGTCTGCAGGTTCGAGTGGCGCCACCGGCTGCGAGTGGGCGCCGACGCCGCGTGCGGCCTCTCGCACATGATGAACAGCACGCCGAAGGCCCTGCACCGAGATATCCCCGGGGCCGGCACCAGGGGCGGTGGGAGGGATGCCAAGATGGAGGAGGAGGAGGAGGAGGAGGAGCAGGCGGAGGAGCAGGCGGAGAGGAGGAGGAGGAGGAGGAGGAGGCGGAGGGATGAAGAGGATGCCAAGGAGGACGAGGAAGAGGAGGAGGAGGAGGAGGAGGAGGAGGAGGAGGAGGAGGAGGAGGAGGAGGAGGAGGAGGAGGAGGAGGAGGAGGGGGGGAAACCACGGTTGCCCAGTACCGTGGCAGGTGCGCCAGCTCTCAGGGGGCCAGCTTCCATCGAAGTATCCTATCCCCAAGCACCGCCAGTCCATTTCCTCTCCCCATTTCTCATTACATTCCGTTTCGACTACTTTTTCTTCCTTCCTTCAGGTGACGCCGTCATTCGCCACACCGTCACAGGTGACGTCAGCACCACGACCTCGTCATCATTCAGGAGGCCCGACGAAGGGGCGGCCCGCAGCCGACGGCCACCGAAACGGCTACGGCGGCGCACGCGCGGGCTCGTAGCGAGGGCGCGATGCCGCCGAGCTTGGCGCCACCGCGGCCCGCGCGCTACCGTGGCCCGCCTCGCCGCGGTGCGCTGGCACCTGGCGGCGCTGGCTGCTGGGTTCAGGAGGACCCACGCCAGCACACTCGACAGCGCCGACGCCAACGCTAACATGGACCAGAACACCTGGACCAAGACCCAGTACATAGTCGTCGATATCGGACGACGAGCAGCACCACCACGACTGCGACCAGCAGCACCACGACCACGACCGCGACCCAAGCAGAGAGCTGCTTAGCATGCAACAGGATTCCGCCGACACCAACGCCGACGTTTGCGCCGGCACCAACGTACCAACGTCGACGCCTACGTCGGCATCCAAAGCACCTACGGCCAGGCCAAGGATTAGGAAGAGAAGGACAACCTGCAGGAGGCCGACGTCGAGGAGGCGTCGGAGGATCCCCTGGAGTACCTGGGGTTGTGGGAGGCCGGAAAGAGGACATGAGGGACCAGGACTTGGCGGAGGCGGTGAAGGCCCAGGAACTTGCCAAAAATGAGACCAGGCACCTGCCCGGGACGCGGCCCAGGCCAGGTGTCGCCTTCCCGACATGCCGCGATCTCAGGGAGGCAGCGGCTGAGGCCGTGCGAGTCGCCACAGTACGCAGCCACCTCCATTACGACCAGCGGAACCAGCATCACCACCACGACTACGACCAGCAGTGCTGCCACCACGACAACTGCCAGCACCACGACCACGACCGCGACCACCACGACGACTACGACCACAAGTACAAGCACCGGGACTTCCTCACCCTCCTGCTCTTCATCTTTGCCGCTACGTGCGATCATATTTTCCAGTGCCACAGTTTACAACGTGGCCAACAGATACTGTTCAGGGGAATCGTAGCATTGCTAGACTACGATGCCTTGCCCGCCTCGTTTTTCACGCTCCACTTTCTGCTACGGGTGGCCATCGACTGACCATCCTGTCGGTCACCGCAGCCGTTTTATTGTTCCTGCTGGAGGAGGGTTGCAAGTGGATCAACCGATTCGCCCTCGGAAAGGAGACCCCCGAGGACGTGGGGTCCAAAGCGTGGGTTAGAATGATTTGGGTTTCCCCGAAGGCTTTCAGGGGCCTGTTGGTCGATATGGCTTTACGGGCTAAGTTTCACGCTTCCCAGTCCCTCGCAACGAAGCGACTCGACGCGGAATGAGAACCATTGACCCGACGCGCGATTCTGGAAATTCCCATCCCGCCCCCTCCCCAATATCAAGATTTTGAATGGCCCGGCTGGTGCGCCATGAGCACAGGCTCGCACACTCGCGCGGGGTATGTTGTGGCGGTATGTTCAAGAGCAATCTCCGCTGACGTGGATACCAAAGGTTGTTTGCCAAACTGGCTGCGCCCAATATCATGATTCGGACAGGCGTCACAAGCAGTGGTGGCGAGGTGGTGCTTGCACAGAAAGAGGGCGAGCTTGACCTGGGCTTCCCACCCTGGCGGAATGGGACGACGATGCGGCCAGAAGCGCTGCCAAACAGGAAGATCATCGTGCCCTGCATGTTAGCTACGCCAATGAGCCTGCCGTCAAGGCCTACGGTCTTCCCCTCACCTTGTTTGCGAAAAAGCTAGGCCAGTCAGACAGCAGCCTTTTTTGATTGACCCCGCTCTTTAGCGAGGCATCGCCACCTGCTTGCACAGACAGGAGGAGGTGCCCAGACCTGTGACTGACTTGATTGTTATGATTGTTCTCCGTGTGTTGACCTGGACCCAGGAGGTCATGAGTTCTCCAAGAGTTTTTGGGTTCCCTCGCATCCGCGGCTGGACTCGGGTTCGCCGCCCTGTCCGTGGATATTGTCAACCACGAGATCCACGGAGACCTGTCCAGGCAAGAAACGGTAGCCAAGTGGGCGCACACCATTATATGACGGAGGGTTGCTGCGGTGCTTGTTGGCGTTCTTTGCGAGTCCTGGTCAATAGCCAGGTTTCGGGCTACGCCTGGATTCCCCAATTCCCCGCGGCCTGTCAGGGCCCGTGCTTCCATTTGGGGGGCCCCAGCTCTGACCAACAAAGAGATGATTCATCTGCGGATCGGCAACAGGCCGCTGAGGACGACCATCTACCCGCTCCACTTGTGCTTGAAATGCAACACCGAAAGATTATGGAGCATCCAGGCCGCCTTGCGCCCCTCCCCCAGTTGAGCGCGTTCCAGGGGAACCCGGGCCAGGTTCCATCATATTCACCAATGTATGTTCGGGAGCCCCAGCACGAAGCCCAAGACTTTGTTGTGGATCCACTGGCAGTACGCAGTCAAACACTACGACCAGGGGCGGAGGGATGTGTTATGGATCGCACTTCGCATCATCTTCGAAGGCACAAGACAGGACGGGTCGTGGAACACCAGGACCTACAAGGCACAGCTACGTTCCTGCCTCTCCCAGGCCATCTTCGATGAGATGAGGACGAAGTGTGCCCCTCTCTCAGGAAAGCACTAGGATTTGGATCTGGACCCTACGTTGCCCCCCGTTCTTGTCCCCCATCGGCCTTTTCCTTCAGGTGGGGCGCGGTGCTGGCTGCGCTGTCTTTAATCGGCGCCACCCCGTCTGATCCCCTCTTCTTTCCTCGCCTCTACTCTCAATTGGTCCTTCCTTTATGTTCTTTAAAATCGGCGAACCTCAAGAGCCTTTAGTGTGCGTGCCTGCTTGGGGAGGGAGAGGAGGGCGAGAAGGAGGAGGAGGAGGAGGAGGAGGGCGAGGAGGAGGAGGAGGAGGAGGAGGAGGAGGAGGGGGAGGAGGGGGAGGAGGAGGCGGGCGGGGGATGGAGGGCGAGCTGGATGTTTGCCGCGCGCCCCCCATGAATCCCCGCTTGACAGAAACTAAACGAGGGCTAGAGAAAGTCAAGACAGGAGCAGGAGGAGGAGGAGGAGAGAAGGAGGGGCATCAGGGGAAGGGGGACAGGGAGGACTGAAGGAGTATGAAAGGAGGCCCAGAAAGGGAGAGGGGGAGGGGGCAGGGGAGGGAAATGGGAGGGGGCAAGGGAGGGAAATGGGAGGAGGCAAGAGGGATGGTGCGGAGGGACGGGGAGTGAAAACGGGGCGGGAGAAGTGGGAGGCGTGTTGAGGGAAACCCAGACCTTCCCCCCCTAACGCCGAGTACAAATCAGCGGGACCAGTGAGAACAGCCCCCCTCTATTCCTCACTATGGGGCGATAAAGGACCTCTAATGTGCCGTCTCAGGGGTTCCAGCGAGCGGGGTGATTCGAATGGCACAATGGTTCCTCCTCCTCCTTCTCTTTTTTGCGTTGGGCGAACTCAAGGGGCTGGCCTGTAGCGTTCGTCGCCCTCCTCCTCCTGCCGCTTCTACTCACCCCCTATCATGTTCCTCCTCTCTTTCCCCTGTGTTAGACTTGCCCCACCAAAACGAGCCCCTGAGACAGCATGCCAGCGCTCCAGTCCCTGCGCTGGCCCCTCACGTCAAGCCCGCCAACATCCTCCTCGATGCCAACGGCACGGCCAAGATGGCGGACTTCGGGCTCGCGGGCACCATCCGGGACGTGCGGCAGCAGCACCTCACGGCGGCCCTGGGGGGGTGGGCGGCAGCAGCACCTCTCAGGTTCAACGCAACGTTGGGGGTGGGCTTTGGCTAAGGGGGGGGATGCGTCGACCCCGAATCGCCCATTGATCGCCGATGGGGGCCTCATAGCCTACCCCGCCAAGGAACGTGCGGGTGTGTTCTCAGGGGCCCATCGCCGATCTATCGGCGGTGTGTCGCCGTGTCCAGGTCGATGTTTCCTCCCCTGAGCCGGACCCCCCTTCTCGTTGCCCCTCACTCACTGTTCTCGGGAGGAGGGCCACGAAGCCACAGAGAGCTTGGTGATTGCGCAGCACGAGCGTTGTTGGAGGACGAGCCGGGCGCGACCCAGGCATCGCTGGGATGGGAACGACGGTCCGAACGGCGCGCGTGGCGCGCCGTAGACGGCGGGCGCCCCAGGTGGTATCAGGAGGCGACCGACGCAGCATCGAATTGTTACTCCCCATAAGTATCCCAAGTGTGGGCTTCTTGTTGTTAGTGGCAACCCTCCGCCTCACTCCTCCTCCTCCTCCTCCTCCTCCTCCTCCTCCTCCTCCTCCTCCTCCTCCTCCCGCCTCCTTCTCTCGCCTCCTCCTCTCCGTAATCGCTCGCGCTCAGGCTTGCTCACGCCCAGCTGCTTCCGCTCAGAGTTACTTGCACTCAGGTTCGGCTGCTTCCGCTTAGAGTTATTTGAACTCAGGTTCGCCCCCGCTCAGACTCGCAAACATGTAGACTCACTAATATCCCGACCCAACCGCACTCAGAGTCACCATTACCCAGAGTCAGTTCACTCAGGCGCACACGCGCCCAGGCTCCCCCACACACGCGTTCGGTTGCGCCCCCAGGTGGGACCACGAACCGTGTGAGGGCTGTGCCAAAATTGGCCCGAAGCCTTCGGTTCTGCCCCCTGCGGGGCCACGAACCGTGTGTCCCCCATGACCGTGCCCCATGGCCCATCGGAGTGCTTCAGGATCCTTCAGGATCCTGCGGAATCCTGGGGGTGCAGCAAGGGCGCTGGCCCGAGTTTTAGCCGTATTGGTGGACAATGGGAAAGTTTACCCCAATATGCCCTGGCAATTTTGTTGGGACCAGGCCATACATGCTGCGACACGAAGGTGAGGTGTGAAAC